GAAAAAATCATTCTATTCATTAAGAGAATGCAACTATATATCTATCCCAACCACTTTGAATACACAGATACAAAATGGACATTCATAGTTATACCCCAATTTTTTTTAAGTTCCGTTGTTGAATATTATAGGTGTGTAAACTCAGCAAATTATTCTAAAAGAGTACAGAAGCCCATAATAGCATTGGGTCTTCTGTTTAATTGGCAATGTCAGAAATTATTGACATGAGTCCCCCACAGCTCAACATAACAACATGGCTTTACTTCCTATATTTCATCTTCATACTTTTCTACTGGATGGTTAAGACCAAGGTAAAGCAGGACCTATGCAACAAGAGTTGTAGCTTTTTGGTTTGAGAAGGTCAGTGAAATGCCCTCAGGATTTATCCTGAGATCCTGTACCTCAGATTGTAGAACCTTTATCAGTGCAGCCATGTGGATGAGTCACGGCCATTGCTTGGCCAATGTGCTCTCTGTGAAAGCCTGAGAGAGTGTCTTCTCCTCATGTGACTCTCCTTAGGCACACTCCACGTCATCGATCAATTTCCTCTTTGGCCCCATAACCTTCTTGATCAGAAAATCTGGGACACTACCGAGGTACATGACGTTACAGTACAAGTTCTCATATGTCCTGAGTCTTAATTGACCTTAGAAGGGTAGGGCCAAAATATTGGCTTTCCTTGTAGCCCTCCTTTTTCTCTAATTTTGGTCTGCAAACTTAGGTTGTTAACCATCCAGAAGACAAGCTTATTGTTATTATCAAACGATTTACGTTATCAAGCTTAACCTCACTATTTCACTACATTTCAAACATCTTAGGCATAATAAGGAACAGGTATTTTTCATCAAGTATTGATATGTTGAACCTTAAGTCCGCATATCAGCTTTTATATCCATTATTGTTCTGAATGAAGTCTAAAAGAAAATCCAATCTTATAAAGCTATTTAGCTAGAAAAAGAGGATGTTACAAATTCCCTGAAAATATCTCATGGCATCCCAAGGTCTTCTAGCTGTAACTACTAGTCCTTTAGCAACCCTTCCTACAGACTTGAAGAAACTGAAATGAGCTGACACATGCACTTCAGAAAATACAAAAAAATCTGCTTTTACTTGGCATTTTCTTGCCCTAGAATGCCTGCAGATATCTGAAATCTTATCTACATGTATACAAGGCCCAAAATTCAATCCTAGTTTTCTAATGATCCCTTCATAAAGGGCAAAATAGCAATAAAAGAAAACTCAGTCCTGATTGCAGCATACACTACAACAGACAGCAGAATAGGTCACTATCAGCACAAACTGTTACACAACAAACAATAAAATAAGCTAGACAACAGCAAAATCATAAATATTTAGTCTTTGACAGCTATGCAGTTTCAGTATCACATTTTCAACTTTATTCTTCTGGGTGCAAAAATAGCCTATATAATACATAAATGAATGGGAGAGGCTATTTTCTAATAGAATTTTATTTATAGAAATAGGTCACACTGGATTTGGTCCTTATGCGACTGTTACCTGAACTCTGCTTTGGACAAAAAATGGACCAGCCTCAAAAGTGTGTAACAGGGCCAGAGAGATAGCTCAGTGGCTTAAGCACCTACCTGTCTGGCAAGCAGAAGCTCCTGAGTTCAATTCCCAGTTACCAAAAAAAAAGGGGGGGGGATGACTATAAAAGCCATTTTATAAAATCAGGTATTTTTCTTACTTGTCATTAGACTTTTCTCAAACATAAATTTGGACAGTAGTTCTTTTAACCTAAAATACCTTTGTAAATCCTAACATGACAGTAGCATACTGTCTTCTCACTGAAGGCAAGTGAATAATTCATAGGTACTTTCAAATAACTAAAGGTTATCAAAGACCTAAAACTTACACATATGAAGGTTTTTCTTTGTTTTTGTTTTTGTTTTTTTTTTTTTTTGGTGGCCTCAGGTTGCTTCCAGCGCAGGTCTGGTTTGGCTTGCGTGTCTGGGTATCGAACCACAGCACCCTAAAGCTGACAGCTTTGTTTAAGGAGGCACTTAAACAACTGAGCTAATGGGCAGGCCCCCATAGCATGAATTTTTTTTTTTTTTTTTTTTTAACGGAACCAGGGATTGAACTCAGGCCCTTCACTTGCCAGAGAAGCGCTTATTCTACTGAGCCATCTCCCCGGCCCCAACAATTATGAAATGGCAATACATTCTTAGAGACTAACCAAATAGTCCAGTGCAAAAACATTAAAAGTCAGAAACTACTCTAAACTAAGCCAAAGAGCCAGGGAGATGGCTCAGTAGAACAAGTGCTTCCCTGGCAAGCGCAAGGGCCTGAGTTCAATACCCGGTTCTGCCAAATAAATAAATAAATAAATAAATATA